CCCCCTTTCTATTTGCCTAGGGCTTGATCTCAGGGCCTTCACCTTGAGCCACTCCACCAGCCCTATTTTTTTGTGAAGGGTTTTTTGAGATAGGGTCTTGTGGAATTGTTTGCCTGGGCTGGCTTTGAACCATGATCTTCCTGATCTCTGCCTCCTGAGTAGCTAGGATTACAGGCGTAAGCCACCAGCTCCCGGCCCTTTTCATTTTATAGTTGAGCAAACCAAGGTAAAGTGACTTGCCTAAGGTCACAGAGTAAGTTACTGACAAAGCTGGTGTTTCCACTAGACCATGTTCTTTTTAGATTTTAAGCTTTTAGTTTTTGAAATCCTTTTAGGTTGGGGACATCAAAAACATAACTTGGCTCCATAATATAGTTTAATAATGTTTAGTGTCACTCTTGCAGGTGTTTTGATTAAGGATGCTATAAAAGCCAGTCTTTTTCCACCACAGTTATTGAAAGTCTTGAAAACTGAATGAGTTCTCAGTTTTCAAGTGTCAGTATATTTCAAGTGAAATATTGAGTCCTTTTATTCAACCTCTTTAAGCAGGGGTCCAAGTCTGGCGAATTTCTGTGGAGGGAGACCTCAAAGACTTTGCTTAAGAGGATGTGGAGATCTGGAACTGGAAGACATTTGGGGGAGAAATCTGTTAAGAGGGTTAATGGCAATGATGCAGTCTCTGATGAGAAGATTTCCAAATTCTTTGTGTCCCAGGTGGAAGAATCCATGGCAGGACACATGGGTGTAGTAGAGTTTACTAAGGTTAGAAGGGGAATTACAAAAGTGCATGGTGGGAACAGGTAGAAGCTGGAAGCAGAGATAGAATCTTTCCCTTTTCTGGTACTTTTATAACTTTTAAAACTTTTAACATATTGAAAGGAAGAACCTGGTGATTCCTAACCACCAATAATCAATGAGTGGGTAGGGGTATGGGTGGTCCCTGGGCAAGGTGGGAATAACTTACACACATTTGCAATAGAAAGTAAGGCTCTGAGAAAGAGAAGAATGTTCAGACTGAAATATAATATAGTCATATGTTCTAAGAGTCCTGAACTTTTCCCCAATTCTGGTCTGCCTCAAGAGGTTGCAGAGTAGTGACCACAAAGGCAAACACAGTACACAGATGTGTTTGTCCTGCACAGTGGTAAAATTTTTGGGAAGTTGTTGCTAACAGTAAAGTTCGGAGATTTCATATAAAAATCTGTCTGGCTAGAAATTCAAATGGCCAAAAAGCACATGAAAAAATGCTTACCATCTCTAGCAATAAAGGAAATGCAAATTAAAAAAAACCATACTAAGATTCCACCTCACCCGTTAGAATAGCCATCATTAGCAACACCACTAACAACAGGTATTGGCGAAGATGTAGGGGGGAAAAAGGAACCCTCTTACACTGCTGGTAGGAATATAAACTAGTAAAACCACTCTGGAAAAAAATTTGGAGGCTACTTAAAAACCTAACATTGATGTACCATATGATCCAGCAATACCACTCGTGGGGATATACCCAAAAGAATGTGACACAGGTTACTACAGAGGCACCTGCACACCCATGTTTATTGTGGCTCTATTCACAATAGCCAAGCTATGGAAACAGCCAAGAAGCCCCACTACTGATGAATGGATTAAGAAAATGTGGTATTTATACACAGTGGAATTTTATGCAGCCATGAAGAAGAACGAAATGTTACCATTTGCAGGTAAATGGATGGAATTGGAGAACATCATTTTGAGTGAGGTTAGCCCATCCCAAAAGACGAAAAATCGTATGTTCACCCTCATATGCGGACATTAGATCAAGGGCAAACACAACAATGGGATTGGACTGTGATCACATGATAAAGAGAGAGCACACAAGGGAGGTGTGAGGATAGGTAAGACACCCAAAAAACTAGATAGCATTTGTTACCCTCAATGCAGAGAAACTAAAGCAGATACTTTAAAGCAACTGAGGCCAATAGGAGAAGGGTACCAGGAACTAGAGAAAAGGTTAGTTCGAGAAGAATTAACTTAGAAGATAACACACATGTACAGGAAATCAATGCGAGTCAACTCCCTGTATAGCTATCCTCATCTCAACTAGCAAAAACCCTTGGTCCTTCCTATTATTGCTTATACTCTCTCCTCAACAAAATTAGAGATAAGGGCAGAATAGTTTTTTTTTTCTGCCAGGTAGTGAGGGGTAAGGGGGAGGTAAGGGAGGGAGCGGGGGTGGAGGGGGGTGGGAGGAGAAGGGGGAGAGGAATGACCCAAACATTGTATGCACATATGAATGAAATAAAAATTAAAAACATCTGTCTGGCTTCTCTTGAAAATTCAAATGATCTGGTAACTCTGAGTCTGTATGATAGTGTTCCCTGTAGTTGATGGACAACTGGGTACAAGCTTTCTGATTTGGCAATCCTGATCCGTCCTAGATGCTCCCCACCTATACCTGGAGAGGCCAAGAATCATCATCACCATCATCACTGCCATTGGTACTGTGGATTGAACCCAGGGCTTCATGTTTGCTGTGCAGGCACTCTACCACTTGAGCCACACCTCTAGCACTAATTCATTATTTTGCTTATACGCTGCCCTTTTTTTTTTTTTTTAAACGTGTGAGTGTAGGCTCAGTAGTAGAGCTCACTCTAGCATATATATGGGAGGCCCTTGGTTCAGCCCTCAACAGCTTCCTGAAGTGACTGAAATTATTTTGTACCCCCATATTTCAAAATTAGGAAAAGACCCAGAAGGCTTTTTATTTCAGAAAAAGGGTTCGATTCCGGGCCAATGCAGTGGGCTGACCCTTGCTTGGTGCTGGTGGCTCTCACCTGTAATCCTGGCTACTCAGGAGGCAGAGATCAGGAGAGTCATGGTTTGAAGCCAGCCCAGGCAAATAGTTTGTGAGACCCTATGTGGAAAAAACCCATCACTGAAAAAAGGGCTGGTGGAGTTCAAGCCCCAGTACCGCAGACAAAAGGGGAAGAGTATGTATTTTTTTTTGGAAAATGAGTTATTATATGTTCTGGCTTAATAAACACAAATGCAGGCCTGTAGGTGTGGCTCAGGTGGTAGAACACCTGCTTTGTGAGCATTAAGCCCTGAGTTCAAACCCCAGTCAACCGCCCCCCCCCCCAAATCCACAAATGTAACCTAAGTGTACCTAAATGTCTCCTTGTAACTAGCTTTGAGGCAAAATAGATAGATGAGGTGACAGGGATTTTAAAAATAATAAACATTAAAGGGCTGCACTCAAAAATTAAAACAGACCAGTAAGTAGAAACTGAACAATCAGAGCAGCAAGCTTTCTTCCTATCACCTTCTCCTTTTAAATGTTCAGTTACAAGAATAGGGAGACCTAAAGGGACTATCTTGAATCTACCTCTTTGTAGATGTTAAGGAGCTGCAAACTGATGAGGTATAGAGACAGAAAATCAAAAGGCATGTCTGGCAAATGAAGTCCTGAAACTCATACCTGTTGTACCTATGTTTAGACCACATCTCCTTGTTTTTTGAATAATAACAAGACTCATCTTAGCCATGTTTGTGGTAGTAAGTCCATCCTGAAACCATTGTCTCTAAACTGCACAAGAAGGAATTCAACATGAAATCTCCCATGTAAATACCCTAGACAAGAACCACCATTTGAAGTCTTATTCACTCTTCATTTCCTGCTTGTGAAGTGCAGGAAATGTGCTGCTCCCTCTTTCCTATTTCTCCCTACTTTTTCCTGTTTTTCTAAAGTAGACCTTACTAGATTTTTACCTTGTGAGACCACTGAAATTCTTTTCATTATGGATCTCAAGTTCCAGTGATTTGTGTGGAAACTGGGAAGCTGAGGGAACCCCCTCCCTCTCTCTCCCTCTCCCCTCCCCACTTCAGTAACAGAAATTGGGAAGCTAAGTTGAATTTTTCCCTTTCCCCCTTATTGGGGAAAATCCTTGACTTTTTCTTACCTGTTACTACCTCTTGGCTCCCTCTCTATACAATCCTGAAAGAGTGTGTTGAAGCAGTGTCTGTGGGATGCTAGAAACTAGAATCTATGGGGCAAATAATTTTTTTCTGAAGTGTGTTACCTGTGACATTTGATGACATTTGCTTGAGCTGTTGGCAGCCCTTTCTAGAGCATTTCATCTCCTAAGGTTTACTGACTTGAGTTGATTAGTTTAGTGGACAAATAACCTTTAAAGACCCATGTATAAACCTGACATAATACGTGTGTAGAGAGCAAATTCTCCTACCTGTAGTGAAACAAATTCCTTGAAAATTGACATTTTGTGTTACCAGATTAGGGAAATCCAGATTTCTTTTGGCATCCTCATTTCCGTGATTTCAGAATTTTTTGGATGCATGGCTAATCACAGTGATGAAAATTTAGAAATAACATTGATAATACACTGATAACTCAGAATTCATATTCAAATTTTTGTCATCTATATGTTAAATCTGTATTTCTTACTGACTTTGACATTTCTTAATACTGTGGACAGTTATTTTGTGCACGATGCCTCACTTTTAATCAGTCTTGTATTTCCTCATGACAAGATTGAGATTAATATAATTTTGGGGTGAAATATTATAGAAATGGTGTTGTATCCTTGTTAATGTATCATTATCAGGAAGTACATGATGTCAGTTTGTCCTTATTGGGGATGTTAACTTGATGAAGGTGATGTGTGTTTTCTAGACTGTTAAATTAGTATTTTCTTCCTTTATCATAAGTAATCTAATGAGAGTTCCTATGATGATGAGCATTCTTTTTTTGTTTTGGCGGTACTGGAGCTTGAAGTCGGGCCTACACCTTGAGCTAGTCAATCAGGGCCCCCCCCCACTTTTTTTTTTTGTGATGGGGTTTTTGAGATAGGGTCTTGTGAACTATTTGTCCAGGCTGGCTTTGAATCTTGATCTTCCTGATCTCTGCCTCCTGAGTAAGCTAGGATTATAAGTGTGAGCCACTAGAGCCTGGCTTCATGTTTATGTTTGATGTTTGTCTGACTTTGGCTGTTTGTCTCTCTTAGAAATGACTGCTGTCCACACAGGCAACATAAACTTCAAATGGGATCCCAAAAGTCTAGAGATCAGGACTCTGGCAGTTGAAAGACTATTGGAGCCTCTTGTTACACAGGTAAGAATCTGAAAACACAAATACATAGTTTTTGTGACATGGTTCTGTAGTAGTAGAGAACCAAACACAAGACCAAAGTTATTTAGTTCAAAGTCTTAAATTGAGTGGTTGAGCTTATTTTGTTAGTAGTAATATCCATGGATTTATTTACTCCTTTAGAACCTACCTGCTGTTGACTTCTTCAGTCTTAATTGTCAATAGGAGAGGTTATTGGTATGTAGTGTAGTTTTCCAAATATTTGCATTTTGTAGGTAATTTCACCCTTTCTTAAGGGGAAATCCAAAGGACACAGGGTGTGGACCCTTGATTGTTAAGGTTCCTTTACTCAATTTATTGCATCTTTCCTTGTGTAGGATTAATTGGCATGTAATTCAGTTTGAGGATGTAGGTTTGGTATGTTTTGCTGCAAATACACATACCATAATGCGATGACATTAGCTGTGTACATTTACTATTTTGGGTGGGTGGGTGGGTGGGTGGGTGGGTGGGTGTGTGTGTGTGTGTGTGTGTGTGTAGAGAGAGAGAGAATGAATATGAGATTTAGTGGCATTTGCTATCTTAAAAAAATTCCATTCCAACTCAAATATATACTAATATTCTATATATCTATATGTAGGTGTATGTGATAAAGTTAGCGTATTTACTTAGACCTCATATACTATAGCCTTCAGGTCTTTTGTTTGGCAAATTTACATGTAAGAAATCTTTAATCATCTTCAACTTACAGATCATTAGATATTATACTTGTTAATGATGGTTAATGTTCTGGGACTTAAAGCATCATCACAGTAGGCTTCTGTGGGCAATTCTTTATTAAGGGCCTTTACTAATTAATTGGTAAGATTCGTGTGAATAAATCTGAACAAAGACTTCAGAAGCTAGTCATCTGAAAATGTTTTGTAAAGATCGGTAGTAGTAGCTGGGGCATTGGTGGCACACTTCTGTATGTGTAACACTCTGGAGGCTGAAGCAGGAGAATTGTGATTTTGAGGTTTCCTGGGGTACATGGTGAGGCCCTGTCTCAAAAAGAAAAAAAAAAAAAGATTGATGGCAGTGATTAAAACATAACCCTCAGGTAAAACTAAATTTATTGTTAACCTCTTCCTGGGACTTCTTGATGACTTATAATAGAGACATCTAACTTATCTCTAGTAATTTATTTTTAATTTGTAAAATCAAACTAAAAATCTAATTATATTTGAGGAATTAAAATATGTATTACATTACCTTACACATTGAGAAAGTTAAATTATTTTGGAAACTAAGAAGTACAGTGTCATTTTTATATATGTTAAATATGTAGAGAGAGTTGTGTGTTATTTAATGCTTAGCTAGAATATCTTAAGTGTGATTTTCATTTCCTTATGAATAACTTAACTCTTACTATCTTTAAATATGTTAGTCTTTCTGTTACTTTCATTTTATTTTGCTTTTCTGGTACTGGGGATTAAACTCAGGGCCTCAAGCATGCTGGGGAAATGCTCTATCACTAAGTTGTATTCTTTGCCCTCTAATTTTAAATGACTACAGTTTAATTTATTGCTTTTTTTTTCTTTTTTCAATGAATCTTTTAGGTTACAACCCTGGTAAACACTAATAGTAAGGGGCCCTCCAATAAAAAGAGAGGTCGCTCTAAGAAGGCCCATGTTTTAGCTGCATCTGTTGAACAAGCAACTGAGAATTTTTTGGAGAAGGGGGATAAAATTGCAAAAGAGAGTCAGTTTCTCAAGGAGGAGCTTGTAGCTGCTGTAGATGATGTTCGAAAACAAGGTAGGTCAATATTGCTTTTTTTAAAATAGAGTAAGACAGACCTTTCTAGAAAATCAGCCTTTTTTTTTTCTTCTGGTTTTGGGAATGGAAATTAGGGTCTTGGGACAACTGGGCAAGTTGCTTTCCTGCTGAGCTCCATTCTCAGCTCCTACTCCTTTGAAGGAGAATTTTTGTAGTCAGTATTCTCATTCTTATACTTGTCAGTTCAGTAATTTATACTATAGAGATGTATTAAGTTGTACTGGCTCATAATCAGCAGAAGTGCTTAACAAGGAGATTCTCTTTGGAGACTCTGAATCCACTTCTCTTTGGTGTTTCATATAATAAAGTCCTAGAAATCTATAATTTGGTAGGGAATAAATGAAACAGAAGTTTACTTTAAATCCTATCTTGATAACTCCTTTTTTAGTTCTTACTGACAATATGGGGGTAGTAAAATGGAAAAATATCTGGCCTGATAATATTCATTACTTTGAAAATTATTCTGAAAATACTCTAGTAATCGTCCCATTCCGTCACATTGGAATGTTAACTCAGCCATGCATATTTGTACTGGTGTGAATTTGGCATAAATAAATCTCAGTTTAAAGGAATTATGTTTTGGGAAACTTAGCATTGATAGAAGGTTAAATGGTAATTTGCAACTTATCAGTAATGTTAGAGAAATTATCATTATTGTGTTAAAGGTTTGAAAAGAACTTTAAATCTGAAACATAAACATCTTGAAGTTTATAGTTTTATTTTAGAATTGTCTTCCAGTTAGTGGACTTCAACAACGATGTAGGTTTTTCTAGGCGGTTGGATATCACTTAAGGTGAATTGAGTCCTTATTATGAACAACAGGTGCTGTACTGGCCTTTAGAGAGCCTTATTGGTTCTCTGTCTAGCAGCAAAGTGTATAGTATATAGTCTAGTGGAGTCTTATTTGAAGTTTATCTCTGAAAATACCTAAAAACGGGCAGTACATTAGAAAGAGGTAGTATTTCCAATTTTAGTTTTGAATTTGTGAGATAAAAACCTTGTTTGGTGATTATTTTCTCAGTTTTCAGGCTGAAATAATAAAAATGATGAAACTGTTAAGATTTCATAATATGAGTTAGTTTCCTAAGGCTTCCATAGCATAAATGACTACAAATTTGGTCCTTTAGAACAATAGAAATTTTATCTTCTCATAGTTCTGGAGGCCAGAAATTTGAAATCACAGTGTTCATAGGCTTGGTTCCTTCCTGGGAATCAGGACGAATCTATTCTGTACCTCTTTCTTATCTTCTTGTGGTTGCCAGTGGTCCTTGCTGTTCCTTGGCTTAGAGGAACATCACTCAAATCTCTACATTTGTTGTCACACATACTGTTCTCTTTATGTATGTTTTTGTCTCTTTTCAGAACATCTATCATTGTATTAGGGCCTACTGTGATTTAGTGTGAACTCATCTTGATACCATCTGTAAAGACTTGGTTTCCAAATACATTGACATTCACAAATTCTGGGTGAATTTCTAGGGGACACTTTTTAAGCCAGTACAGTGGTTTTGAATTAATGTAAAACAGTTTACTAGTCCAGTTTCGCACAGTTTTGAGCTTTCCTGCTAAGGAAATCAGGATGGTTATTACTTCAGTGTTCACTATTGGAAGGTTCTGCTTCCCAGCCTTTCTTGGAGTCTATGTTGAAACTCAGGTATTAACAGATGAGTTTAACTAAGTCTTCATTGATTCTATTGACATAGATGTTTATTTTTAAAATACATCCAATTGTTGGACTGGCAGAGTGGCTCAAGTGGTAGAGTGCCTAGCGCAGGTATAAGACCTTGAGTTCAAACTCCAGTACCACCAGGAAAAAACAAAAAAGGCAATAAAAGCTGAGTGCTGGTGGCTCACACCTGTAATCCTAGCTACTTGGGAGCTGAGATCAGGAGAATTTCTGTTCTAGGCCAGCCTGGTCAAATAGTTCACAAGGCCCCATTTCCCAAATAACCAGAGCAAAAAGGACTGGGGGAGTGTGGCTCAAGTGGTAGAGCACCTGCTTTGCAAGCATGAAGCCCTGAGTTCAAACACCAGTCCCACCAAAAAAACAACTGTTGAAGGCAACTTTCTATTTCTTGTTTCTGAAGTATGTTTGATTCAGATCTGTAGCGATTTTGATTGAACATACACACTCCTTTCCCTCTAAAAAGTCCCAACAATAGAATGCATATCTGGATTTTTTTTTCATGTTTTTGTTTATATCTGTGAAAATCTTTTATGTGGTTCTGAATCATAAAATTTTATCCCTCTTAGTGTATCTTCGCAGCTATTTATGACTATGATCTGTTCACCATAATTTGCCTTTTCTCCAGAAGAGGAAAAGCCCAAACAAAAATATAACTCCCATCATCATTGCATCAGACATGAAAAGTTAGGTCTGGCGGAGTGCATCAGATATGGCTCAAGTGGTAAGAGCACCTGCCTAGCAAGCATGAGGCTCAGTTCAAATTTCAGTGTTGCGGCCCCCCCCCCCAAAGGAAAAAAAAAACACAACTAAATAAAACTTGCTTACAGATATGAAAAGCTAAAATGCCTTTCTTATTTTCTCTTGGCTTAACTTTTTTTTTTTTTTTTTTTGTGGCTGTACTGGGGTTTGAACTCAAGGTCTACACCTTGTGCCACTCTACCAGCCCTTTTTTTGATACAGTCTTATGAACTATTTGCCTGGGCTGGCTTGGAACCACTATCCTCCTGATCTCTGCCTCTTGAGTAGCTAGGATTACTGGTGTGAGACACTAGTGCCTGGCTCTTGGCTTAACTTTTTGTGTGTGGTGCTGGGTGTTGAACCCAGGGCCTTGTGCATGCAAGGCAAGCACTTTACAACTGAGCTGTACTCCTAACCCTTTTTGGAGAATCTTAATAAATGGTGACAAAATCTCCTCTGTCATAAATAGAATAAAATACATATTGTAAAATTGATTAAGCACAAATTCTTTAATCAGTTGAGGCTTGTTGGCTCTGTTGTTGGAGCTGTTTACTCATCATTTGAAACCCTAAAGTGGCATTAATAATGTCTACAGACTCTTTGGCATCCCTCCCTTAAAAAAGTGGGGTCTAGGGGGCTGGTGGAGTGGCTTAAGTGGTAGTGCATGCCTGCCTAGCAAGAATGAAGCCCTGAATACAAACTGCAGTACTGCTCCCCACCTCGCCTTGAAAAGTGTGGTTTAACCTCAAACCTCTTCAACATGGGTTGAACTTAGTGACATACTTCTGTAATGAATAGAATGTGGTAAAAGTGATGGTATCTGCTTTGGAGGCAAAGATATAAAAAGGGGGTAGATCCCCCTTTTTATAATCTCATGGATTATTCATTCCAGGGGAAGCATATCGGGAACAGTAAGGAGGTCCTGTAGAGAGGACCTTAAGGCTCCTGCCAATAGTTAGCACACTTTAGCGTGTGAGTGAAATAGCCTTAGAAACATATCTTTCAACTCCAGTCAAGTTCCAGATGACAGTAACCTCAACCTCAAGTCCCTGACTCACAAAAAAGTCTGGCAGATAATAAGTGTTTAAGTTACCATTTTTTTTTTTTGGAATAATTTGTTAGGCAGCAAAAGAAAATTAATATAAATACCTTTCCCTGGCCTGACGTCAGTGTTTTCCTGCATATAAAATAATGTTTATAGAAACATCTAGTTGCTAAAGGATGTGTAAGAATATTTCTTTTGAATCACTGTTGTTAAAATACTCACAGTTGGCAAATTATAAAGGTCCAGGTGGTAAGTATTTTAGCTTTACTGGCCCTAAGTCTGTTGAAACTCTGCTATGTGTTGGGAAAGCAGCTATGGACAATATTTAAACAAATGGGCATGGCTGTGTTCTAATAAAACTTATTTATAAAAACAGGTGGGGGGCTAAATTTGGTTTGTAGGCTATAGTTTGCTAATCCCGAACCTAGGGTTTTCCTAGACTAAGATACAAGCTTACTGTTTTCAAAGAAGTACTTGTTTGTGAGTACCAAAATGAGAAAAGAGCATTTCTTTTGTATTTATTTATAACTCTTTTGAGCCAAAAATTAGACCATGTGTATCTTTGGGTTTGTACATGCCCTGTGTTTTCTGTGTAATCATAATATCCTGAAATTTGAGTGTATACAGTTTTTACAGCATAACTTTCTTTCTGTATCATTCCCTTACTACATGAATAATATGCATAAATATTTGTGGGTACACTAAGACATCACCATATGTCATAAGTGTGGCAAAAACTTTCATGTATGTAAAATTTATGCCGTGTTATCTAAAGGTAATTAAGTGGCCAGGTGAGCTTCCTGTGGTGAATAGGAGCCAGTTGTCAATTACATGCCATCCAGAATTCCTGTGATCTGGGAGTTACATTGTGTAACATTGCCAACCTGCTTTAACTAGTTGTTGAACCTTACATGGGCTGAAGCATACATGTGCCTCTTAGATGTATTCTTTTCTCTTTTTGGGACCCTATCTGTCTTCTATAACCCTTGTCTTGATTAGGTCATTCTTACCTTTATATTTCCTAGTTGTAATCACAGTGGTAATTAAATGGGGTGCCTTCCCCTTTCTAAGCTTTAGCAGGGCAGCTTCTTTGGTAATCTGGTGACCTTTTTCTGTAGTATCTAACTTGGTACCTCATCTGTGTTAGGTACTAAAATGTTTGAGATAATTAACGTTTCCAAGGAGTGCAATGTGAGAAAAGGCCCTTCCTCAGTATTTAAAATGTGCTCTTGCTGGGCACCAGTGGCTCATGCTTGTGATCGTAGCTACTCAGGAGGCAGAGATCAGGAGGATCGAGGTTCAAAGCCAAGAGTGGTCAAATAGTTCATGAGACTATATCTCAAAAATACCCAACACAAAACAGGGCTGGTAGAATGACTCAAGGTGCAGGTGCTGAGTTGAAACCCCAGTACCAAAAACAAATAAAGAAAATGTGCTCTTCAGTGACATGTAAGTGCATTAGTAGGGGTGGAGAATCTTACTTTTTTAAAGAAATTGAGATACAGTGCA